GAGTAAAACACCTCAAGTTTCACACCTTTATCTAGCAGCATACAACTCCTTGTACCATGAAGGAGGCTATGTTCTTGGTGGCATACTGGGTTCCTGGGTCAACACAGCCCCCTGCCTTATTCTAATCAGTATTCCTGGCCATTAATAAATCAATTCCTTTGTGGCAAGCTCTGAACTAGGCTCTTAGGATAGAGAAGTAAACCTAGGAAGCCCTGCTTGAGTGTATAATCTGGTAGAAAACCTGAGGGTGGTGGAGTATGATTGTGTGTCTTGTGCTTGTGTGTCAGCTGGAGCAGCTGATATAAGGCACCAGACAGCATAAAGCAGGGTCAGAAGAGGCAGGAGAGAGTGTGGGAGACTCAAGACTAGGTAGGCCAGGACAGCAAGAGCCTGGGATCAGCAGGATGCTGGAGGGAAGGGGGTGACTCCTAGCCTTCCTTTCCTCTCCCTGCTGCCTCAGATGCCCTGAATAAGTGATTTCCTAAGACTTCAAGCACACAGGCCTCTTCCCCTGGGATGGGAGAAACATTCACAAAGGAGAAACCACAGGAAATGGAACATCACATTTTTAAGTATCCGTTGTGTGGGCTCTTTTAAAATCACTGTAGTTGAAAATTAATGCCTGGATGTGTGGGTGGGGAGACCTTGTGAGTTTTTGAGGTTATGGACTCACTGACACACACGTAGACATGTTCAACATAGCCAAAGTTCTTAACCCACCATGGAAATCAAGCACAGAAATGAATGGTCAAATCCACCTCTGAACATGGAGTTCTTATTTTTGTAACAATTGTGTATGAGTTCCCAGTGAAATGTTCTCTGTTCATTTGACTTTTGAATATAACTTGTTCCAGAATGTTGTGACATTATGTGAATGTTGCTTTGTAGTCAAAATTAAATATTTCGTGTTTCAATCCCAGGATGAGGAGACTTTGACTTCATATCAACTAAATTGTGTAATACTAAAGGTATTTAGTGATTTTTTTTAAAAAAATGGATGGCCAATTATACATATTGATCATTATTATTTGAAAACTTTGTTTGGCTTCAATTACATTTTGTAAAACTAAGAATTACTGTAACAATTTGTCTGGGTATATTGCCAAGTCACCCCTTTCCTACTTTGGAATGGAATAGTATTGACTCTAGGACATCTTTAAGGAGGGGAAATATAAAACTGACTTCAGGGTTTTTGTTTTTGTAATTTTTGTTCTTTGGGAAATGATAAAATCCAACTTATTTGGCTAATGATTTGGACTTCCAACAACATAGGGGAAGGTAGTTGGATCCAATGCCCCCCTCATTGCTAGAGAATTCAGTCTTTTTCTGGGAATGGCATCGGTTCCACTCACAAGCTGTTTACTGTGGAACAGGTATAACCCTGTGCTTTGGGGATCACCAGGTGTCAAGTGGCAAGTAGCAACTCCAAATGTCATCACCATAGCCTCAGAGTGGAAGGTTGACACATTTAATTTAGGCAATGCTGAATTTCTCATACTAATTGGTTATATCAGAAAATGTGCCTTCATTGTCCACATAGTGAAACATGTATTTCTGATTACATAGCAATCCCTTGGGATATTTGATTTAGATACTAAAAAAGTTTGGGTGTTGAGGTTTTGCACTTGTACATACAACTTAAAAGCATGGGATGGCAATGTAACTGGCAATGTAACTAGATGTTGTCTATAAAATGCACCTTGTGACCATTTCTGTGAAAGGCCCTTTACCAACTTAGAGTAACTATGGTTCAACAGTTGAGAGAAACCATCATTTTTAATAGTTAATTGTTTTGATGACTAATGATGCAAGTCTGAAGGCAATAAAGATTATTGTGAAAAGTATCTCATTTGGATAATGGATCTCACACGTCTCACAAAAGAGAGGAAGGCAGCATGCAACTTTTCTCTAGAAAGGCCATATTCTCAAGCAGAAAAATTAACAGCTTGGCAGAAATGTCCTTAAGGTATTGGTGCCAAATTTGTGATCACTAAACACCTACTTGGCCATGGACAGGATCAAAGGTAGCAGATGAGCCAGAAAGTTGCAGTGCTTGATGGTATTGGAGGAACTTCATGAACTGCCCAATGTCACCACCAGAACATTTATGTCAGATACCAGCTGTTTTTTATAAGGGACCTGGGATAGAAAGATGAATACCCACCACTTGAGGAGGAGAAAGCAGTGCAGTGGGCTGATATGACCTGATTTCAACTCTAATATGTACCATAGCAAAGAAATCAGAGCCTAGGGCTCTAACAACTGTCTATTATTACCTTCTTAAAAACAGTAGAATCTACCAAACTGGTAGCAATAGTACTCAATACACCAAAGCTCCATTAAAACACCCATTTACAATATCATTCTTTCTAATAGGTGAATAGAACACTACCGTGTATAATACCACATTTTCTTGATCCAGTCATCCACTGAGGGGCATCTGGACTGATTCCATATCATGGCTATGGTAAATAATGCTTCAATGAACATGGTTGTGCTGGCAGCTTTAGCGTGGCCTTGTTTGTTCTCTATTGGATGAATGCTGTGTCACAGGGAGCTCTATGTTTAGTCTGTTGAGGAACTTCCCTACAGCTTTCCAGAGTGGCTGAGAAAGTTTACATTCCCACCAACAGTGTAACAGAGTTCCCTTTTGGCCACATCTAGAATTTTGGTGAAATACAATCTCAGTGCTGCTTTGATTTGCATTTCTTTTATAGCCATCTGTCAATTGGCCATTTTTACTTCTTCTGAAGTCTCTCTTTAAGTCATTAGCCTATTTATTAACTGGATTGTTATCTCTTTATGGTTTCAGAAAGAATGCTATTGTACCATTCATGAGAAAATTAAAAGACTTGGAAAAAAATATATTAAGTGAAGTAAAGGGGCAGTCCCAGAGAAAATAGGTTGCATGGTTTCCCTCTTTGTGGTGGCTGGAATGTGTCTATAAATCTATAAGTAAACACACTGAGTTTTAAGCAAGGGGTCACAAATAAATTAACTGAAATATAATAGACTCTATGTAGAGCCCAAATAATGTAACTCTTTAAAAAGACTTACTTCAAAGCCCATCAAAATAAGTACTAGGAAATAGGTACTTTCAGTTGGGTAAGGTAGAGCCAAGGGGAGAGAGATAGAAGAATAAAGTAGGGAAGTGGGCTCCCCGCCCATATATCACAGAATTGTGAAATATAAGGATCCAAGTAGGGTGAAGATGTTGATGACACAGATCAAGATGCACTGCTTTGTTAAAAGGCAAAAAAGTTAAATATATAACCTAAAACAAAGGTAAGTAAGGGAAGGGGTGGGTTGGGATCAAGATGCACTGTATTTGTAAACTGGTGAATGGCAACTCCTTTGTGCAACTACTTAAAGATAATAAAAAAAATATTTGAAAGAAAAACACCACCATCTACCATAGTGGGGAAAGGTAAAAGTAGATGCTGGTTTAGGCTTCTAAATATGGTCTATTCCCAAAATGCTAATCAGCACAGGTAAGAGGTGAAAAGTAAGCCCACCATACCATACACTTTGAGGGGTCATCCTGGTGAAAACCACAAAGCAAGCCACCATACACAGACTCCTAAGAATGGGTTTATAGAAAAACTTTTTGGTTTTATTTAACAAACACATACTAGAAAACAAACATTGCTACTTGCAATGAGATCTAATGGGTAGTTTCTCTGAGGCATTTAAGAGCTCCTGTTTCCAACCTTCAGGATAAGGGCTTTGGCATGGTTAACTTCTAAAGTATCTCTTAACTGCCTAGCTAGTTAGAAAAGTGCATATGGGTAGCAAATGTGATTGGTTTTTGCATATATCGTATAAGCAAATAAAAATTTTAGTGTATTCGAAATTTCAATTGCTTGAAAGTTTTGTGATATTGCCAAGGATCTTACGTCATGCCACAAACATGGCACTCCCTGGTGAGAATGATGAGTGTGGCTCCTTAAGGACTAATGAATGACATTGGTACATATGGAGAAGTCTGGATTATAGGCAAAGTGGTACTAATTAATATTAATAACAGAGATCCAAGGCCTCCAGTGCAACTCAGAAACATGCCAGATAAAGTTCTAATTTCATTTCTCATGGGAAAATGTGTCTTGACTTCTGAATGCTTTCTTTTCACGTTTTCTTTTTCTCATCTGAATGCTTCCATAGAACTGCCCTAGCCTTTTCTCAGGCTACAAGGCAACAAAATATACCCCCAGAGTATCTCTTGACTAGTAAATTCTCATCACAAACAAAAATTATATAAGTCTTTGGTAAATATGTGGAAGTTAGTCAAGACTCAATGGAAAGTTCCTAAATAAGAGTAACTTACATCAGGCAACATCTAGGCATGAATTTCTTCTAGAAGTCATTCATGTGTCATGACTATTCTGTCTTATTAAATCCTTTTAATAAGACAAAATTCTCACAGAGTTTCTAAAACTTCAAGGGGCTTTGCTATGAGGCTCACCCAAATGAGAATCCTAGTGAAGGTTGTTTTTGTCTGTGTTGTCACAAAGAGCTCAATACAGTAATGGAGGGTATGCACTAGATCTATGTTTGTGTTTACTTCTCATTCATGTATTGCATTCACACTGCTGGGCAAGGAGCTCATACAAGAGGTCTTTTTGCTTTCTCTTTATAAGGTCATCAGAGCAATACAGGATCAACTGAAAAATAAACTTACAGTATATCATGTAAGACTTACAACAGGTCAGCTCTATGAAGAAGGCAGAAATGGCCAGGTTACATTTCCTGACAATCTGCAATTCTTATGAGCAGTCACGGTCAAGGCTTGCTTTTGTAGAAAGCTGGGAAACTGCTGATGGCTTCAGTTCCTTGGCCAAGCTCCTCACAGCATGGAGACTGTGCTTTTGTGATACAGAATCAAACATGATCTAGAACCATAGTGGTATCTTGTAAACCTCTCCTTTGGAAGCTCTTCATTACAGTAAGCAGACTGGAATGATGAAACAGGGAAGGTATCTCTACCTCTCCCCTCCCTCATAGTACTTTTTTCTTTGGTGGTCTCCCAGAGTCCTGAAAGATCCTGGCTGGCTTTTCTGTGTTTTGCAGACAGCCCCAAAACAATCACAAGCAGGGAATACACAAAAGAAGGAATCCAGATTGAGTTTGGTTAGACTCATACATCTGGGCTGGACTCAGAAAAGCCTTTCTATGGACTCTGGGCCTTTAAAAACGTGCTTATTCCAAGACTTTATATCAGCCTGTGGAGACGTGCAGTGGTGTGTCCGCCTGATCACACCCTGTCCTTGACCCCGGGGCTGCAGTCAGAGCATGTCTGTAGAATCACTTGTACAGCTGTGTCCAGTACTGAGACTTTCTGTGGGCTCTATCTGCAAAGGCCCGGAACACAGCTCAGCTGCAACCAAAATGGACAAATATATGAGCACCTATTCTTTATGCATAATAAATGTAGTGTGAAGTTATCAGAACATCATCCAGAGGCCTACAGAGGAATGAACACCCTGTGCACTGTGCAGTATGATCTTCCCTCCCTGGGGACAAGAGCAGGTGGTGTCCAGGACTCCATGGAAGGCAATGGATGGTGTCAGCAGCTTAGTACATGCGGAAGATTCTGGGGCCTGAAGCAGCCAGGGCATATCATCTACATTGAAATGGGTTGGTAGTTCTTGGGGCCCCCTTCTTGGGAGATTTCCACACTGGGCAGGCTCTTGGGCAACAGCTTTCCCAAGTCAAGCTTTTTAAGGGCCCGCATGGAAGGGACACATGCAATAAATAAGAGCATGGCTGCATAGCTGGTCGTATGGAGACACTCATTTGCAGAGGATCCCATTCTGAAGTGTTCGGTTTCTGTCAGTGATGCAGAAAGAGGTGGCTGTGTGGGGTAGCTCTTCCTTGATCTTTGGTGAATGATTGCTGTTGTTGCTAGTGCTTGATTTGCTTCTGCTTGGGTCAAGAGCGGGTTGCATGGGTGAGGCCCGGGCCCCCTTGCTCCTGACCAGGCAGCTGCAGATGAGCCGGAAGAAGGCACGCCTCATCTCCTTGCTTGCCAATGTGTAGATGATAGGGTTCATGGCAGAGTTGAGGACAGCCAGCATGATGAACCACTGATCCTTGAATAGGATGGGGCACTCCTTTACCCTGCAGGCCACATCAATGAGGAAGAGGATGAAGAGGGGGGACCAGCAGGCGATGAACACACTCACCACGATCACCACAGTTCGCAGTAGGGCCATGGAGCGCTCTGAGTTGCTGTGATTGGTCACCTTGCGGCTGCTAGACTTGACCAGGAAATAGATGCGGGCATACAAGAAGACGATGGTCACCAGGATGGCTATGAAGATGCTGATGCAGAAGGCGATGTACTTCTTGGAATAGAGGGGCAAGATGGTTGAGCAGTCAGAAAAGTTCTGCAGACAGTTCCAGCCCAAAATTGGCAAGGCACCCAGGGAGAAGGCAATGAGCCAGCACATCCCAATCAGGAGGAAGACTCGGTGTTTCTTGTTGGCATCGTAGGGCCGCATCTTGATCATGGTTAAATGCCGCTCAATGGCGATGGCCAGTAAGCTGCAGGTGGAGGCCCCAAGGGCCACAAACATACTGCCCTCCCTGAGGAACCAGACCGTCAGAGACAGGCTAAATGTCTTCTTGCCCGACATCAGAATGTTGACCTTGTAAGCTATGCCAGCCAGCAGGTCACAGAGAGCCAGGTTACCAATGAAAAAGTACATGCGATTGTGAAATTTATTGTTTTTCCAGATGGCGATCAAAACCATCAGATTCTCCAAGACAATAAAGCTGCAGACAACCAAGAAGAGTATGGTGGTGAGTGTGCTGTCTTCAGGGGGGTCCCGCAGTCTACCCTCCAGCTTCCCCACATAGTTGTAATGTGCCAACAGAGTCTCATTTCCCAAGGCGGGCTGTGGGTGTGGCGGAAGCATGGTTGTCATGGCTTGGCAATGACAGATGGTTACCTCCACAACCCACAAGAGGGCGCCCAGGGAACATTCATTTCAGAGGACCACCAGGATTACAGTGCGGCTTCAGGAACGTGTGCAGGCCACACTCCAGCAGGGATGTTGAAAACAGCCTCCTAGAACAAGATGAAAGGAGCAAAAGCCATAGATGAAGTGACCCACCTTAAGTAACTCTGGATGACAAACTCTGAAACATTCAGAGAGCTGGTAGGGTCAGGGCTGCAGAGAGGGGTTTAAACGCAGGCCAACCTTCTCAGTGGTGATAAAGGCCAGGGAAAATAATGAGGGGTTTGGAGTTTCAGGACAGAACAATTCCATGCGTGAATCATTTAATCATGTATCCAACGTGCACAGTCCCAAATAAAGCCTCCCACTTAGAAACTTCAAGCACTAACCAGGAAATGCTAGTGTGTTAGTCCTCATCTACCACAAGGGAGCTGGTAAGCCATTATCCCCTGTTACCCAAAGGGAAACAGGATTTTTCTCAGGACAAATCAAAACAAACAAGAAAACCCAAGATGGAGCCAAAATGATGCCCACTGGACTTCTGAGACCTCCCTGATGAGTGTTGGAGTGACACCGTGGGAAGTACCCATTATTGCCTTGGGCGGCCTCCCTGGAAGTCTGGATGGGCCTTTGGTCCACCTGGCAGAGAGCCCTAAGGCCTGAACATGCAATCAGGACAGGAAGAGCAGCCTGGGGGATGGGGGTCCTGAAGCCACTTCGCTGAGCTGGTGGCTGCTGGGAAGGAATATAAATGGGCACAGTAGCAGCTGGCTTTACTGAGATAAAGAAAGAAAGGAAAAGTGATGACATGAGTTCTGGGAAGAATTTAAAATGCAGAGGCCTAGGCTGATGTAGCTCCAGTGATACAGTGTGTTCTTAGCATGCTGAAAGCCCTGGGTTCAATCCTCGGCACTAGAAAGAAAATGGAATCAGAGGCTTGCAAATTTGAGCAGGAAAATACGGCACCATAGGAGCCCTGAGATAGCAAAGGCCGCACAGCCAAACACTGACTCCCAGTGGGTTTTGAATTTGAGCACTCTCCCTCTCTTCATGCTCTGGATACATCCAGTCTGTCCCCAGTGGTCATCTTAATTGTCCTCCTGTGATATTAATGGTGCTGCCTACCAGCTCTCAAGTCAAACATTCCTTCCCATGGATTAGCATCCATTTAATAGGTATATATATATGTATGTATGTATGTATGTATATGGGATAGAGTGAATAATTCAGTGCATGTACACAGTGTGTATTGATCAAATAAAAATTGGTATTTCTATCTCCTAAACATGGATCATTTGTTTGTGTTGAGATGTTCTGAGTTCCTCTTTATAAAATAAATAATAGTGTATTGTAAAGTAAAGCCATCTTACTGTACATCTAAAGCTTATTCATCTGTACCTTGGACCCATTACCCAGTCTCCTTCTATCCTGACTCTCAGCTTTTAGTGACCATTATCCTCACAGAAACACCTTTTTAGGTTGATCACATGTGTCTGAGAACATGTGATATCTTTCTAGATTCACTTATTTTACATTAAAATCATTTGACTTTTTAAATATACAATGGAAGGCCAAGTAACAGTGTTTATGCCTATAATCATAGCTATTCAGGAAACTTTCCTGTTTGGGCTGGCTTTGAACTTTGGTCCTCAGATCTCAGCCTCCTGAGTAGCTAGGATTACAGGTGTGAGCCAGGGGTAGCCGGCAACCCATAGCTTCCTGGTAGAGATTTCTTCCCCGGAGCTTGACAGAATTCACTGTTCTGTAGGCCCGGGGAGCTGTCTGAGCTGCTGTCTGTTCACTGGCAGGAACTGCTTCTAACCAGCCCCTCCACGAAGGCTGTGTGAGATCACAGAGGAATGAAGTCAAGGACAGCTTGAATGCTGCATGCTGGGAGAAACCTTGGATGCAGCTGAAGTTTTCAGAGCATAGACTGGAAAGCCATTACGTGTGATATGCTTTGCCTAGAGTATGTCAAGGTATACTCCTGCCAACATGGTGCAGTTGGAGTTATCAGGCCCAGCACCTTATATATTAATACATAGGTAGTCAAGCAATTCATGTGCCCCTTTCTATTCCTTGTCCACTTACGTCTTCATCTGTGAAGGCTGACCACAGAATTACCGTGTCCAAGCCCTCCCTGCTCCATTTCTATCCCAAAGGAGGGGCATCTCATGAGGTCACTGAGACAAAAGCAGGAAAGGGCTGTCCCCAGAGAATAGGCTTGGCATAATGTGGGTGAAGTACCCAGCCCCCACCGTAGCTGGGCTAGAGACTGCTGTGCCATACTGCTTAGTGGACCTACTAGGTTTGCACAGCTGCCAGAGGAACTATCCTGTATCCTGCACCCTCCCTGCCAGGCTGTCATGGTGCCATCCATGCTACCACTGTGCCCAAGTTTGCCTCAGTATATCCTTGGGCTATCTGTTCTGCTATCAGGGGCTTCTGTCCCAGAGACGGACAAGCTTGTCCAGAAGGTAACCAATGCCAATGCCAGAAGTCTTGTCTCTCAGCTGGAGTGGGATCTCAACAGCAGCGCCACAGGCCCCAGCCTTTTAGGTAACAAGGCCATGTTTACAATTTAAGATGTTCCTGTGCTGAGTCAGCTTGTCTCCGGTGTCTCACATTATCTCAAGATAATCCCATACCCACTTTGAAAGTCAGCAACACCTAGGATTTGGGTCAAAAGTGAGGTAGAAGGGAAGGAAATCTCTTTAAAATGGCTCAAGAGGTGCTCAAGAGAAAGAGCAAAGAGTTCATAGACACAGGCTCTGCAAGCTGACATCTTTCCTTTTCCTCCTGAATATAAGGCTGAGTAGAAAGTCAGGTGGCTCACACCTGTAATCCTAGCAACTCAGGAGGCTGAGATCTGAGGATCATGGTTTGAAGCCAGACCAAACAGACAAATCTGAGAGAATCTTATCTCCAATTAACCAGCAAAAGGACAGAAGTGCAGTTGTGGCTCAAGTGGTAGAAAAGTAATCTTGAAGAAAAAAGCTAAGGGGGAGTACAAGCCTGTGAATTGAAGCCTTTGTATAAGCAAGACGAACAAGCATTGAGCTGAACAGAACAGAAGAAAAACAAGCAAACAAGTAACTAATACAAAATGACCACAACAAAAAGAATAGAATCCGTGCCAGACACTCAAGACTATGAATTCTGAGGACAAGCATGCTTTACCTCTCCATGAATGCTTGCATCCTTTCTTTAATTAAATATTTATGATTCAAGGCACATGTTTTTGTAGCACATTCTTTGCTAAGCATAATTCTCTGCCTTCGCAATTGGGAGATATCTGATTCTCCTCAGAATCCTAAAGTACATTTTTTTCCTCTGGATTATCAATAATTACAAAGCTGAGAGTTAAGTGCTGAGCTAGGAATCAAAAGGTGCAATCGATTGTGGCTATGTCTACACATCTTTATGCATGGTCAAAAGCATGTTATAGAAAAGTTCTCTCCTCTGGAGAGTTTGTTGGAAGAAAGTTCCACCTCATCCCCTGGCACCAGTGAACCCTGGCAGGAGTGAGGTGGAAGGAAGGCTCTGTAAGAATGCTGCATGCTTGGAGACCAGCCTGCCACGGCTCAGAAACAACTTCAAGTCAGCACCTAGACCAGGAAGAGGATAGGCCCCACCCCTCAGGGTACCTCTACCTCTCCTGGTCATCACTCCCAACCCTGAGTATGACAACAGTATGCATGTCTCACCCCCACCCCAAGGCAAGTCTAGCTTGTTTCTGTTTTTAGAAGAAAATGGGGCTACTAGATACAGCTGTGTCTGGCACATTTGCTCAAGTGAATCATGGCTAGGGGATCACCTATCCTGTGGGGGCACATACCACCTTCTGTTCACTGCGGATCATGGGCACAGGTAATGTCTTCCATCACCTAAGTGATGCTGTGAAGACTGATTGAGATACTCTCTTGATGAGTACATGCCCACATTTGTACCAGCCGCCCTTGCTTTCTGAGTGGCAGGCGAGCGTCTAAAGTGAGCTTTAACCATGACACAGAGGTGTTGGGCTTTCTAGAGATTACTGACCAGTGATCATTTAGGCTGCCCTGAAAAACAGGTGTATGTGGAGAAACTCAGGATGTGTATGCATGGGCGGGGTTGGGGGGGAATGCATACAGGGCATGACTGGTATAGTAGCATTTTGCTTTATCAGAAAGGACTAAAGCTAGAGGTGGCAGTGACATTGTAAGCCTTATGCAGCTTAATTTCCACACGAACATTTAAAAAGAAAGTCCAATGTCATGAACTGTATCTATATGTAGACTAGTTATATATATATATATTTGCATATGACACTGAGGCATATTCCAGAAGGTATGGGAATATGGAAACCCACACGGAGATACAGATACTTTCTTCTCATTAGCATCCTCCTCCTCCTCCTCCTCCTCCTCCACTTCCTCCTCCTCCTCTTCTGCTTCCTCCTTCTTTTGTGCCTGTACTGGGGCTTCATCTCAAGGGTTTACTCTCTCCTTTAGCTTTTACGCTCAAAGACAGCAGTCTACCACTTGAGCCACAGCCATTTCCAACTTTGGGTGGTTAATTGGAGATAAGAGTCTCAGGGAGCTTCCTGCCCAGGCTGGCTTTGAACCATGATCCTCATATCTCAGCCTCCTGAGTAGCTAGGATTACAGGGCTAAGCCACTGGTGCTAAGCAGCAGTACTTCTCTAACCAACAGGAATTCCTTAGCAGATCTGTGCCTGAAAGTTCATTAGTACCCAGCACTCACTTCTAAGTCCTGCACCAAGAGATCACCCTGAGGACCCGGGCGGACCCCTTAGTACTGTGCACCCCCAGCTCTAACGAAGACGTCAGTATTGAACATCTGTATCACCATGTAGTCATTCTGTGTTTCCCCAAGCCACTGTCCGCATCTCAGCTTCCCTTCCCTTAGAATCCCTGTAACTTCAGTGTTTCCCTTGGCCTCATGAAGCTCAAATCATGCAGACGACCTCAAGACATTGTAACACCAACAGCTTTTGGCTGAGAAGGAGAAGGATGCCTTCTAGGAGGTGATTCTGTGCTGGATAACCCCCAGTTAGAGCGTGTTAATGTCAGGGAAGCCTCCGTTCCCCCACGGCTCCAAAAGGAGCGTCCCTGGGGAAGGTGAGCCTGGGAGAGGGGCAGATGGACTCCAGATGTGCTCCCCACACTGGTCACTCACTTTCTCCACACAGGGCACTTTGAAAAGTAAACAAACTATAAAAGGAAGGAAAGGAGGAGGGCAGAAAATATTTCTACGATGTCTAGCCCCTTTCCCCTCCTCCTGCCCTTTCCCTTCCTCAAGAATGCACAAATTTCCCTTGGTCAGATTTGGGACACTATATATATTTTTTAGATGCATGTCTTCCCTGGGAAGTCATCCTTCATCCTTCCAACCGAATTAAAACACAACTCAGAAAGCAAGTATTTTTCCTTCGTGTGTGTGTGTGTGTGTGTGTGTGTGTGTGTGTGTGTGTGTGTGTGTGTGTGTGTGTGTGTGTGTAGAGAGAGAGAGAGAGAGAGATTATACTGGGACTTGAACTCAGGACCTGGGTGTTGTCCCTTAGCTTTTTTTGGTCAAGGACAGTGCTTTACCACTTGAGCCATAGTGTTACTTCCAGCTTCTTGGTTATTAAGTAGAGATAAGAGTCTCATGGACCTTCTTGCCCTGGCACCTTTGAACTGTTGATCCTCAGATCTTCCTTCCTTCCTGCTTCCCTCCTCCCTTCCTTCCTTCTCTCCTTCTTTTCTTCCTTGCCCCCCCTCTTTCAAAAGAACTTAGGAAATAATGAGCTGGCCTTTTCAAGACTCCAGAAAAATTCCTTTGCTAATGAGTCTTTTCCCCTGCTCTGGGTTTCTTGGGTGACCTCACTCTGCCTCCAGAGATAGTCTATTGGCAAAATGCAGCCTTTGCACACACAGCCCCATGCACTTGACACTTGATCTGAGCCTAACAGTGAAGGACCCCCGAGGGGAGAGGGATAATAATCACCACTGACAAACCAGGTAAAGGTAACTGCCTGCTTGAGGGCTTCCTGCATCCCTGTGGCTTTTCACATGGTCCTTGTCTTTGGCAAACAAAGCTAGGGTGCCATTACAGAGCTGGGCATCATTCTGGAAACCCTCAGTATGGAGGGCCCCAAGTGTCTTCCCCATTAACAGTCTCTTGGGTTTCCAGACTTATCCATGGAAGGCAACAGACTTTGACACAGTCTTTTTCTAGCTGCCTCCGTTGCTCTCTCCTCCATCATATGCAAGCTTTCTCTTTCTGCTTATCCCAAGGGAAAGGAACTAAATTACTACAGAGACTGCCACTAAATAAAATAGAGGGGAAGAGAAAATAGGTTTCATGAGAGAGCTAAAGACAGGTGAATGAGAAGTATCCTTTCCAAGATGTTCATCTGTGGTCCCTCCATGTCATGTCTGGTCCCTACAGTGGTGTGAACCATGGGAATGAGGCTGCTATGGAACATATATCCTTATGGGTCACTATTGGTAGAGCCTAGCTGGACTGGATGTCCATCTGGTTCTGGACTATCCCATCAGAGACCAGCTCTGGATAAGGCTGTCACCTTCCCATTTGTCCTTTAAGAGGTCTCAAGAGCTTCAGCAGTGTGTATTACAGTTGCTTCTAGCTACTGTACTAGTAAAATGTCAGGATGCTGTTTCAGGGGCTTTATTGAAATATGTAAAAAAGAAATTCTGGAGCCAAGGAAATGGAGTGGAAATGTCCAAGACAAGAGCATGGTGAATCATGTGAGGGCCTCCCTGAAGCTCACTGTGCCTGGACACCTGCACGGCTTGCTGACGGGGAAAAGTCACCACTGGGGCAGCACTCCATGGAATGTTGAACCTCACTGAATTGGTCCTTGTCCGGTCCCTCAAAAATGGAGTACTAAGAAAAATGAAGAAAGGGAGAGGAAAAGGGACAGGGTGAAAGAAAGGGAAAGGGGAAAGGAGAGGGAAAGAGAAAGGGAAAGGGAGAGAAAGCATTCTGTCCCATAGTGCTAACAAAAGCAATGATTGAAATGTCTTATTAAAGGAAGCTTACACATCATATTATTACCTCCAAAAGCTTATGGAAATTCCCTTGAAAGAAGTTAGTTGACCAGAAAACAAGAAGCAACGGAATCTAAAATCTGTCAAGAAAGGATTTATGAAGGGATTTATGAAAAGAGAGAAAAGGCTAGGTAATCGATGGCACCATGGTCCCAGCCAACACACATAGACGGCTCAAAGGAGTGGGTTTCAGGCTTTGGCAAGGAAAAAGGGCTCTACCACGGAGCCAACATATGTTTTTCAAGATGATGACATGCTTCATTTTTTTTTGTCACAAAAAGTACATACACCAAGTGTAGGAGTGAGGAAGATGAACTGATACCGTGCAAGTGTCATAATTTCTAGAAAGAGGAAAATTAGTCTGTGAATTGTAAGCAATCAGATCATTAGGCCAATAGGTAAAGCTTCTTTCACCGGAAATGAGAATTTCTCCCATCCATATATGGTAGAAAATAGGAAGAATCCTTTTTTTTTCCCCCAGCGTACAGATATAAAGAGAAAAACGGCATTTTCAAGATGAAAACTGGCTATGTCATCATTCTTTCTGTACCTTAAGAGGAAGGTCTGAGAGGCTGGTCTTTAGGCTAGATCTCTGGAGTCAGGGAATGGTAGTGGCACTTAGGACCGATGGAATGGCTGCTGGTTTGTGGTTGAAAAAAACCCAATGTATGGTTCTTCCATGACCACAAAAGGATTTTTCCTATTATTCCTATTATTATTTCTCTGTCTCAATTAAGAAATTATACAGATCTAGACCTACCCATAGCTCCTCAAACACAATGTACTACTGCCACTACCACCATCACAAGAAAATCATGGTCAATCATATACCTACAGAGCACAATCTTTTCCTGCGCTTTCCAGGAAATACAGTTTTCTTAACCCTACCTTCAAGATTTTCATCTATGAAAAAAAAGTCGGCAAAGCTAAATTATATACATGCCACAATCTAACACCACCCATGATTTGCTATGTCCAGTTTTTAGAAAGATATAGAATTCTGGAGGCCTCAGATCCGAAACAGAGATGAATAACTTCTGTTCAATGACTACCCCTTCCTAATTATAATGTTCAAAACAAAGTATATTCCCTTTAAAAAGTTCTGCAAGATAAGCTGGGTACTGGTGGCTCACGCCTGTAAATCCTAGCTAGTCAGGAGGCTGAGATCTAAGGATCACGGTTCAAAGCTATCCTGGGCAGGAAAGTCTGTGAGATTCTTCTCTCCAATGAACCCCCAAAAAGCTTAAAGTGGTAAAGTGCTATTAGTCTTGAGCCCAAAAGCTCAAGGACAGAGCCCAGGCCCTAAGTTTGAGCCCTAGTACCAACACACACACACACACACACACACACACACACACAAACACACACACACACTACTGCACTGCAAGAAATCCATCTGTTACATCTAAATATAAAAATGCCACAAGGACATATGCGTTGGGAGTATCCAAAGCCAGACAGAGAGACAGACAGAGACAGGGCATTGAGAAACTGTGGAGTTAAAAGCCCTGAGTCCCCTTCCTACACTTTACCTCAGTAAGGAATGTGGCAGGCCAGTTTTCCTCTGCGAACCTCATTAATACATTGTGGGAACTTGGTCTTCCAGCTCCCATCCTGACAGCTCTAATTGTCTTGGTGAAGAAACGTTAGGAAAACTGGAATGTGGCAGCTAATGGGACTTCAAAGAATGCTTTGTCCAGGAGAAAAAGGTCCCACTCTTCCAGTCCCCAGGGAGGGCGCCTCGCTACCCAAAGAAAACGACCGACCGCAGCGACCTCTCTATGGATCAGCTACCTAACGTTGTCCGGGTTCTTCCAGATACAAGTGTCTTTTTCAAAAAGCTCCAGTTGTCGTTGACAAGGAAGTTACAGCCCTCTGCCTCGGGGGGGGTGGGGTGGCTGGGTCACACGGAGGGTTGGGGATGCGGGTAGGGGGTGCGGATGCGGGGCGCTCCAGTGTGGCCGTGGCCGCAGCGCTCACGTGCGCCCAGGTCACGGTCGGGCCCAGAATCGGGGGGAATTTTGTCCTCAGAGTGGACCCAGTAGTGCCCCCCCACAGCGCGCCCAAGCGGGGACCCCCCCTACCCAATAACACCCCCCCCCCGGGCCAGGACCCGTCCCGCCACTCACGTCTGTCTGGAGAGGGTGTCTGGGACGCCAGCATCCTGGCGCGCGCGCACGGCGGGGTCGGGGCGCTGCTTCCACGGCTCTGATTGCAGTCTTGGCTCAGTTCAGGAGGTCGCTCTGGGTCTGGGGTCCCCTGGTCTGGGGTCCCCTCCTCTCTGGGGTTCGTCCTGCCACCTCGCCCCAGCTCGGTCGCGCGTCCCTGGATGCGGCCGACTCAGCCTCTGCCCTGGCGAGTCCCAGCCGCAAACTTTTTCCAGCTGCCCGCCGGGGCGGGGCCCCGCGTTCGCCCGCCCCGCCCCGTCTCCGCCCTTCTCCCCGCCCAGCCTCGGGGCCTCGCCCAGCCCCTGTCACCTGCGCAGGCTTGAACCAACCCCTCCCTCTCCCACTCCGCAGTCCCCGCCGGACCCCACTTGTACCCCCCCACACACACACCCCGAGAATCGACCCCTGGATGTATGTCAGGGACGAACTCTATGTGTCACCCTGGACACATCAGGATGATACCAAAACCAAACCCAGTCCCCAGGCTTGGGAGGACGCCTACCCAGCTGATAACGAAGGTCTGAGCTGAATATTATAATTAATGCTGATATCACCACCGTTACTATTACTACTGTTAATAGAGTTATCATTAGCCGGGCCTGGGTGACTCATGACTATAATACTTGCTACTCAGGAGGCTGAGGTCTGAGGATCACTGTTTGAAGCCAGTCAGGGCAGGAAAGTCTGTGAGACTGTTAGCTCCAATAAAGCAGCCAAAAGCCAAAAGTGGAGCTGCCGCTAAAGTATTAGAACACCCATTTTGAGTGAAAAAGCCAAGTGTGAGCAAGAGGCCATCATTGCCCTGAACATGACCATTTCCCACCAGCCAGAGCGTGTAGGTCAGCATTTTTGCTTGTGCTTGTCCCTTCTTGGCCATCCTTGTCCACCTTCTGTCCTGCCTCCTCCTCCCGGCTCCAACCATCACTGTGCAGGGATCCCCGATCCTGAAGCTGTTCCCACTCTTAAATTTACGAATTGCGTAGAAGCTTTCATCCCATTCACCTCCACTTCTACCAGGCCACCTCCACCCCCCTGTGTGTGCCAGGCTTTGCCTCCTGTGCCAGGATAACAGATATATATATAGCCAGTCAGACCTGGGGCTTGAACTCAGTCCCTGGGTACTGCCTCTTTGTGCTCAAGGCTAGTGCTCTACCACTTGAACCACTGCACCACTTCTGGCTTTTTCTGAGTAGTTTATTGGAGATAAGAGTCTCACGAACTTTTCTGCCCAGGGTTGGCTTTGAACCAAAGCTAACCAAGTAATCCTCAGATCTCAGCCTCCTGAGTAGCTAGGATTACAGACATGGGCCAGTAGTGCCTGGCTCAGGGAAATCTTTATAGAGACAAGAATCCCCTGGAGAGCACTATCTACTTGTCAGAAAAGCAAAGGTCTACATGCCTTGATCACAGAAACAATCCTAGAAGCTTTGGGAAGAATGGAGATCAAGAGAGAAAAAGGGAGGGAAGATGGAGGAGGAAAAGGAGAAAAAGGGAAAGGAAGGGAAAAGATGTAAAAAAAAATATAGAGGAACCAGAAGCCTGCTGTCCAGAGCAAGATAAAATTCCTTGAGCAGGCAGGATGGAGGCCCCTGGAGCATATGAAGTTCTTGGTGACCAAGTCAGCTTTACCTTGTCTCCAGAAGTAAAGCCCCATTCAAGCTTGCCATGCACCGGGGATCAGCCTGTGCTTATTTGGTATGCATCTGGACTATGAAAGTTGGCAGTAGAGTGAAAGCTAGCAGCACTTCTGGCTGTGGTGAGAAACTCAGGCCCTTAGGGACATGAGTTTTACCCAGGGGAGGCCACAGGGAGGGATCTTGCCTACCTCAGGCACTTAATGGCAAAATGGGTCTCCTGACCTGGGGGGGACTTCCCCAGTCTTTTCACTTGTCCTATTTGCATGGCTTTGCACATAGCTCTAAGTAGCCAAATTGCAAAAGTAAGACCCTCTGGGCCTCCATTTGTGTGACCCCTATCTCATCAACTACAAGGGAAGGAGAGGTAAGAACATGCTCTTATGGCCATTCATCTCATGGCCAATGTGACAACACAGCCTATCTCACCCTACCATGATGCACAGTTGGCTCAACAACAAGTCTGCTAATCAACTGCTTCCTAGTGTTTAACAGTCAGTGCTGGGGCACTAGCTGAAGGTTTTGTGTGTATGTGCCAGTACTGGGGCTTGAACTCAGAGCCTGAGTACTGTTTCTTTGTGTTTTCACTCAAAGCTGGCACTCTACAACTTGAACCATAGCTCTACTTTTTGATGGGTAATTGTGGATAAGAGTCTCATGGATTTTCCTGCCCAGGCTAGAGCCCTGATTGAACTGCAATCCTCACATCTCAACCTCCTAAGTAGCTAAGATTACAGGTTTGAGCCACCAACACCCAGCTTCTGAAGTTGGTTTTGATTGGTCCCCGTCTCCATTTCCTGAGAATATCTTTAACCCTAATATAACAGGACAGCTAAGAGTCTCAGCAATGCCTTCACAACTTATCTCGGAAACTGGATGCCAGTAGCTCTGAGAAATAATGGGGTTCTTAACTGTCAATTGTAGGTGTCCCTAAAGCAGACCAGGGATTTGATTCGTGCTATTACTGAGGTGTCCCTGAAACACTACTCCAATGAGGTTTCTTTTCCGCTAAGATTTACCATCTGGTCCAGCTGTCCCTCCAGCTCAGATTTCCTTGCATACAGCTCTGAGTAGCCAAATTGCAAAAGTCCGACAGTGGACCATGGGCTTTGTGCCTCCACAAGTCCCCTAGAGACAGACCTCTCTCGTTGTTTCTCTATGGATAATGAGTTCTGTGGACTCCTAGTACTCAAGGTTCTCAAGAGAAAAAAACTTCAGGGCTGGGATGTAGCTCAGTGGTAAAGTGCTTGCCTAGCAAATACAATGTCCTGGGTTCTATTCCCAGTACCAAAAAAAAAGAAAGAAAGAAAGAAAGAAAACATATATTTTTAAATATAAGAAAGAAAAAAAGACAGAAACTTCATAGACAAATACCAGATTCTAATTATAAAGGAGAAGGGAATTAGGAAGTCAAACATCCTGGTAGATGGATGTGAAGCCTTTAGACAAGAGTGTGCAGGTGAATTACACAGTACTAATTGGAAAAGGGTAATGACTTTCTAATTTTCTTGGAGACACCTGATAGGTATGATGGTTGATATATGTGTCAACCTGATTGAGTGATGGGGTACCCAGATATTTTGTCAATCATTATTCTGCATGTATCTGAAAGTGAATTTGGGGATGAGCTGAACATTTGAGTCATCACATTGAGTAAAACAGCTGGCCATCCCCAGTGTGGTGGTAGGCTTCATCAAATCAGTTGAATGCCTGAGTAGACATTTTTGAAGATCAAAGACTGAATATTCGCCTGGTTAGAGAAGATGTTATTTGCTGACTGTCTTTAGACTAAGGACTCTTCCTGGGTCAGCTTGAGCAGGGATATCAGGTCTACAGATTTGGGACTTCTCAGTTTCCATGATGGTGTGAACCAATCCCCCATAGAAGGTGTGTGTGTGTGTGTGTGTGTGTGTGTGTCCTATTCAGTTTCTCTGCAGAGCCCTGACTGCTGACCCAGTAGCTTCAGGGCAAGGGCAGACCTTTTCACAGATAGAGACCCTGTGGTAGAAAGAAGCTCTGGGCAATGTTGGGGACTGGGGACTTGTGGTCACTCTGCAACTAGACCAACAACCTCAAACCACTTCCTCACTGCTGGCTCATTATACACAGACCATGGGAGACCTGGCTTCAAAATATTGACATAGATGTGGGCTTACAGAATGACACTTAGTGTCCTGTTTAGATCCAAAGGAAGCCTTTGACTTCTAGAATCCTTCAAGGCAGAGGATTTACTCAGTGACAGAGACACCAAAGCTCGATGACTACACCACCAGCCGCCGTCACCATCCCACCCCTGCTCTATCCCCAGTCTTCATCACCCTTGAGAACCAGGAAAAGTTGCCAGACCTATGTTCACACACTAGTGTGTGTATATGGTATGTATATATGTGTGTACATGGTGTGTGAGATATGTGCATATATGTGTAGTATATGGATGTGTGTGTAGTGTGTGTGATATGTTGCACATGATTGTGTGTGTGTGTGTGTGTGTGTGTGTGTGTGTGTGTGTGTGTGTTCTGGTGAAGGAGGGAATATGTTTGACTCTTCAGGAGGATATGTGGAAGTACCCTGAGATAAAATGAGAAATCAGGACTTGCCCTTTAGTGTTCATTGGATATACTCCTCAATCTTCAGGATTTACTCTTTTTATTTTGATGAGTGGATGGGTAGCTGAGGGTCCTAATTAGTTTTAGAAAGTAACCACTGGGGAACTTTCAGTCCCAAACCCCAAAATTTAGAAAAAGGCTGGAGAAGAGCTGTGACAGAGGCCAATGATTCTTCAGTGGTGCCTATGGAAACTGCTGTCTCAGAGCTAGGTGCTTCTGGGAGCAGCCTGTGAAGGGACCTGGAAAGCTGTGAGACCTTCACACCCCTCCACCACACCTTACCCTGTACATCTCTTTTTAAAATGTTCTATGAATTGTTAGGGGAAATTATCACACCTAAAGGGTTCCTGGAAATCCCTTGATTGGTGGTTGAGAGGCAGAAGTATGGGACATTGTCTGTGGTGGGAGCAGTTTTGAACCATTGACTCCTTTAACTTGCAATCTCTGGGTAGTCAGTATGAAAAAGAAGTGACTGGTGGGCACTGGAAAATTGGATATTTGGTTGGAAGCAATCACCCCAATCAGAAAGATCCTGTTAGTCCCAGGTTCTGCTGCTCCCCAAAACATCTTTCACAGTCAGCAGGAGGAGGCCATGTCCCAAGCAGGCAGTGGGCATACAGCCCTATCTCATTGGGGTGTCCTTGACGATCTCTCTCACCCCAGTCCTCACCTCTTCTATTTCCCTCTTCACTTCCTGTAGCTCCTCTGTGCTTCAGCTAGCCTGAGCTCAAGAGAATACTGACGGAGACATTAAATCTGCAATGCTTTGGCACCTTTTTGTTTTTTCCTGGGCTGATCATGTACCTGCTTTTGTGGGTTCTGATGTGATTCCAACATGTGGGGGGATTCCAGGGTTACCATCCAGGCTTTAACAGGGCAAAGCTTCATCTGCTATTTGATAGTAGGAATTTGTCCTGTGGGTTACTTGAGAAAATTCAGAAAGATATATGAGCATGGAATTGCTCATGAGGCCAGAGAAACAATGACCATCCTTTAACCAGAGCTGAGTACATCTGTATGAGCATCTGTGTTTGCTCACAGGATAAGATGGCTAAGATAATCTATCAAGTGAAATCAGTAAGGCATAACTTCCTTTGGGTTAACCCATATGCAATTCAATCATAGAATATGATATCACACATAGTCATCTCTTGATGCCCACAGGATTGGGCCTAGAATCCCCCCTGGGATTCTAGGCACCAAAATATGCAGATTAGCCAGGTGCTGGTGGTTCAGGCCTGTAATCCTAGCTACCCAGGAGGCTGAGATCAGAGGATCTTGGTTTGAAGCCAGCCCAAGGAGAAAGGTCAGTGACATTATCTCCAATTAACCAGCAAAAAAGCCAGAAGTGGAGGTGTGGCTCAAATGGTAGAGTGCCAACCCTGAGTAAAAATGTTTAAGGGACAGTGTCCAGACCCTGACTGTAAATCCCAGTACCAACACACACACACACACACACACACACACACACACACACACACGAGTCCAGATTAAAAGGTACCATATTTACACATAATCTATGTATAACTTTTCATATACTTTAACTCACCTCTAGATTACTTATAATACCTAAGATAATGCGAATACTTTGTAAATGGTTAGAATCCTGTGTTGTTTAGGAAATGATGACAAGGAAACAGCTAAAGGTGCTCGAATCTGTGGATGTGAGACTCTGATGTAGAGCCTGGCTATATGTGAAATGCTTATAAAGCTGATAGAAGAGACAAAAACAACTAGCCATGGCTGAGGTTTGGAAAAGGAATGGGTTAAGAGGAGTTGGGCAGTGCCAAGAAGATACAGGGTTTCATTGGAGGCCGATAAACATGATCTACTCAGGCACTGGTGGCTCACACTGTACTCCTAACTATTCAGGAGATTGAGATTGCTGTTCAAAGAAAGCCCAGACAGGAACGTCCTTATTTCCAATTAACCACCACCAAAAAGCCAGAAGTGGAAGTGTGGCTCAAGGGATACAGTGCAAGCTTTGAGGGGAAAAAAAAGCTAAGAGACAGCACCCAGGCCTTGAGTTCAAGCCACAGTTCAAGCCACACTTATGCGTGTGTGCAAACACACATGAATTTTGATTTGCATTTCCCTGATGACTAATGACATTGGTAATTTTTTCCATGTATTTGTTGGCATTGGGGAAGCACTTGAAAATAGTGGTACAGGCCTTAGCTTGCTGGATAAGATCTCAAAGGCACAGGAAACAATAGCTCTTAAAGGCCCAGATCTGTTGAAGGCAGAGAAGGAACACCCACAGTGCATCTGCTATGGGTTAGAAACGGCATTGGCTTGCGCCATCCGCCTTTGGTGATGCAGACAAGCTTCGTTGTGGTTTACACAGGAGAGAAAAGGCTACGAAAGGGGAACTCAAAGCATACACAGCCTAAAGGGGAGCTAGTGATTGTCACACAGCCCAAATCCTGTTTCCTCTCTGTCCTGCTGGCAACCACCCCACGTTAAAAGAAGAGGAGCAAAATGTGATCCAAATGATTGTAACAAGCATCCTTCAGGTAGGCCCCGAGTATGTTAAACTGCAGTATCACTTTAAGACCTAGAAAAAAATAAGTAACAACTTTGGACACTGGGCAGGACATAGGATGGAGATGTTTTCAGAGGTGATAACATCAGATAAAAGGGGAACTGAGATCTCACCCAGGGCAGAGGGGCTCGTTTGCACATGCATGTACGTTTCCTGTAAGAGCCTTTTCTGACTCGAGCTCATGGCAAAGCACAGGTTGGAAGACATCCGACTGGCTGGGTGGTGGCCAGGTTGATTTACTCCTCTTTGGATGAGGAATAAAAGAGCTTGTGGTGAAGCTGGCATCTGAATTTCACAATCAGGCCATACAATCAATCTTCAGGTGACTGAATGCTTTAGGTCCAATTACCTCTCAAAATTGTGTGTGTGTGTGTGTGTGTGGTGTGGTGTGGTGTGTAGGCCACAGCAAGGAAATTGTAGCAAGGGCTGGCTTTCTGGCTCAGCTCTGTCCATTTACAAAGTGTTCATAGATAAGGTAAGCTGCATGATTTAATACAAATGCTTAGTGATATTCATTTACTACCCAGTACACAGAGGGATGGATGGGGTGGCTGATTGTGTTGGAACCCATTTGCTTGGACTGGTTTGGTGCATTTCCCAGTGCCCCTGGGGTATGCACAATTGTCGGCAACACTTCTGAAAAACTGCTTTTTCTTGGCGACCAAATGGTTCACTTGGTGGCTGGGTTGGGAAAAGGGTGGAGAGAAACAAAAATAGTAATTGCCAGTATCCTCGCTTGATCAAAGGCTGTGGATTGCAGGAAGAAAAGACTAATGATTTGATGAGTCTCTAAGAGCAAGTACCAGCAGATGTTGGCCCAATGCTTCCCATGGATGGACCAGGTGCTACTTAAGGAGGTTCGCTTTCCTTTCTGCAGATTCCCTTCATACCAGCTCCACCACTTTCTTCAGATGAGGAAAAGAGTAGTGTTCCTCACTGATGTTCCCAGACTGGCACAGCTGGTGAAAGTCAGAGCTGTGACTTCACACTTGAGCATCTGTTCAGATGCTTTGACCAGGTGGATTTCGTTAATCTCTTGGAGTGCTTTTGCGATTGCTGACTCTTTCTCTAAAGCTGACCAAACCTTGGATTATATGTAAATAGAGAAGAAGTTCAGGGACAGGAGGAGGAAGATGGACCTATTTGAGTCCCTCCATCTTGTCTGTCTTTACTTCTATCAGTTCTGTATTGTTATGGGGTGGTTTAGGTGAGACTGAATGGAACCCATGTTACATGGCAAGAAAATGGAGAAGCCACATTTTGGGAGGTTGAATTGGGAGTCTTTATTAAAAGGCCAGTGATCACAAGTGGACTCTAGTTGAAAAGACCTGCAGCCCCATGAATATACTTAATACTGTCAGAAAACTGAGCCAAGGGAGAAGGAGAGGAAAGAAAGTGCCGAAACCAGATCAACTCTGATGGAGAGCCAGGGTGACTGGAGAAGAGCCCAGAGGCAGTAGGCAGGACACAGGACATGAAGCATAGCGTGGAGACATGAGACATAGTGTAATGATATCTGAGCTGGTCTAGACCTAAATAGGCACAGGGGACCTGAGAGTTCACAACCCAAGACTGGCAGGTCCAATAACCTATTGGCCAGGTCCCCACTCCTGCCTCTAGGGAGGAGCATACACATCACCTGGGAGGTGGGACTTCCCTGCCTCCACCATGAAGACAAGATAGTGCCAGTCAAACCCCATACCCTATCATCTACCACGTGGGCAAGATGGCATCAGTTAGATTCCGAATCCCTACTCCACCCTTAGTATCCCTTTGGGGAGCCCCTGCCACTGAAGATGGTAGACCTAGGCTGGGCTACCTCAGGGAGAACAGAAGTTTCTCCACATCATTCTTGATTAATCCCTGTGGATCAGCCCCTTTAACTACAGCTTTTTGTAGCCTATGTGTATTTACTTCCATAGTAGTGAAGGAAACAAAAGGGAACTGTTAGGTAGATAGGGATTTAAAAATACGGCAGCTTATTATAATTAAGTATTTTGCAAGGTGATACTTTATTGATTGGGTCCCACAACTTTCTTATTGTTCGTTAATTTCTAAGCAGATCCTTTCTCTAAATCCTCTCCTTAGGGTCATGTTAAGGTTAGGAAAACTAGACGGGACTACAGAGGGATAGAGACATGATCTGGTTTCAATTTTCTAGTACAAGATACTGCCCTGGATCCTAACTAACCTATCCTTTCAAAACCAGGATTCTAATGGAAAGCCTTGCAATGCTTTTGTTGTGACATGTTTTTAATGCATAGCAGATCTCTTTCATATAAAACTTAGGCTCTAATACACTCAGAGATCATATCTCAACCCTGTAGCCTATGCACAATAACTAGCCAGTAAATGTCCATCTAGCTAAGTTTCCCATACTGTAAGTCAGTAAGAGATCAGGAAAATGATGATTGATATTTATAAAGCCAAATGCTATGATATGATTGTTCAAAAGAAGCATTCAATTTTATCTAGGTACTTTATTTCATTGATTATACCTACACCATAAGTTTTGATTTATGCATATGTATTCACATAATTAAATTACAAGAAAAAATTATGGCAGCGATATGTGCGGCAGGTAGCATGTGTCTCATCATGAGATGTCTTCTTCTCATGATGCCCTGGGTTCCTGCTCAGATCCTTCATGGTCTCACAGTGCCTTGAGCTTACCCAAATTCGTTTTCTTCCCATAATGCCCTGGGTTGCAGTTAACCAGTAAAAAGAGCCAGGGAAGCATCTGCTCAAGCTATCAAGCAATCAGCCCAAAGTCCAGGAGAGGAGCTATAGAAGGAGACCCTGTACTCTGAAAGACTCCATTGGACTCATCATGACTGAGGCCTCTCTCTACAGAGAATCTATTTCATTGCTTTCCTTTTGCTTTCAAATAAACTTGCTCTGTCTGCTTTAAACATGTTCCTACTGTTTAATGCTTTCATTGGGGAAAAGTTGAACATAAATCCTAGATGGTATCGTGAGTGAGTAAATCTTACTTTATAATTAATTTTTTAAGCTTAGGTAAAAGCAAGGAAAGTCTCAAGTCAATAGTTGAAGCTCACTTCAAGAAACTAGAATATACAAAACAAAATAAACTAAAAGCAAGCAGAGAGGCTGATATAATAAAGGGAAAAGCAGAAATGAGTAGAACCAGGGAAAAAATTACTGAGACAGAAGTTTCTTTGGAAAGATTCCATTTGCTAATACTTTGTTAGGAATATCTGTGTCTACAGTAGGAGAGATGTTGGTTTGCAGTCTGGTTTTGCATTGTAAAAGTATTTCAGTGAGGCAGTGCACACCTCACCAGCAGAAGCTGCCAGAACAATCGGATAAGCAAAGTGTCTTGACCTAAGCCTTAGACTTAAACAAAGGCTAACTCAAAAGATCAGATTTCAGTAAAAAGTATAAGAACAGAAAAGGTTCACAAGATAATACAGGAGCCTAGGGCTTGATGAAGCATAATTCAGTATAATAGAGGGCATGGTCTATAAAAGAGAACTTACCCATAAACAGGACCTTGTCAAAATGGAAATGTTTGCTTTGTAGAGAAAAAAAAATAGACGAGCTAGGAATTGGTAGAAAATATTTGCAAACCACAGGTCTGACACAGGGCTCTTATCTAGAATATATAAATAACTCTCAAAACTCAGCAGTTATAAAAAACAATCCAAGCAATTCATAGAACATGAGCCGAAGATGTAGAGATCACATGGATGGATAATAGATATGAGGAGCCATGAGGACTGTGCAAGTAAAGCCACAATGAAGTTTCACTATGGATCTATGAGAAAGACTCAAAAAAAAGTACTGCTTAAATAGCAGCTGGAAAGGAAAGGAAGAAATCCAATCACTATAGTGGGAATGTGGACTGGTACTGTTCTGGAAAATAAGCTGTTTTCTGAAAAGTTATACTTTACAATACCTAACAATCTAGTAAATGCCCTCCTAAGGGTGCATCTCAATGCAATAAAAATAGAAGTCATCAGCCAGGCCCCAGTGGCTCACACCTGTAATCCTAGCTGCTCAGGAGGCTGAGATTCAGAGGATCTTAATTCAAAGCCAGGAAAAGTCCATGAGACTCTTATCTTCAATTAACCATCAGAAAGTCTAGCTTTCTAGATGGAGGGAGGCATGGTTCAAGCATTAGAGTACCAGCTAAACAAGTAAGTTGAGTAAACACAGGCCCTGAGTTCAAACTCCAGTATTTCTTTAAAAATAAAGTCATCTCAATGAAATCTATGGAGTGTGCTCAGAGAACTCAGATCAGAGCAGCTGAATGTCCCTGAATGTCCCAAGCTGGAAACCAGGAAAGCATTTCCACTGAGTAAACTATTAAAGCAATAGAGGCCCATGTATTGTGGAGTTTTCTCAGCAATAAATAAGAATCCATGTTGAATATGAGTCAGCCTGGATAGAGCTCAAGGACACTAGGTTGAGTGGGAAGAGTCAAGCTCTAATGGCCACATGCTGTATATTTTTTTCTCCTTTTTACTCTGCTATTCTATCAGAAGTTAAGGTGGTGGAAGGGGTGTGTCATTCCACATAGATCACTTAACAAATTATCATAGTGTGCTCTCAGTATATCTTCCTTGACCAATGAACCAATAAAGACCTGGATCTAATTTATAATAAGAAACAAAACACTCAACCCAGACAATAGAGAGAAGCTCAAAGTTTAAGATTTCAGTGATAAAACAGACAAGTCATAGAAACAGCCCAGATGCCCTACATTGGATGAGTGGATCAATAAAATGTGGCACATATATACAATGGAATCTTACTCATCCATTAGAAAGAATGATATTATGTCATTTGCAGGGAAATAGGTAGATCTAGAACAAATCATGCTAAGTGAAGTAAACCTGGCTCAGAGAGACAAAAGGCACACGTTTTCTCTCATATGTGGTTCCTCTCCCTCGTGGGACACACGTGGTAGCAGAAAAGTGTGTCTAGAAATCCCATAGACTTGGTTTTGAATTACGTTGTTCCTGGTCACGTGGTTTCAATGAGGCACGTTTTCTCCCTTAAATTCGGGATAGAGCTCACAGGATGAAAATCTTGAGCCAGCAAATCCTAGGATCCTGAGGTCAGTGGGAAAGCTGGAAGGAAGCCCTGGGACTGAAGGCTGGAGGTTGTCTATGCTAGAAGAGACGTGCTGGGGGGCTGCATGGCCATATCCTGTTTTAAGGAGCTAAGGCTTCTGGGATTTAGAGCTTACTTGTTCTCATGTTGCCTTTGACTCTGCCTTTCAGATAACAACATGGCTCCCAACTAGTTCACTTGTCCTAGGTTTATCCACTCATCTTCTCTTGGTCAAGCTGAGCATCTAAAAATTAATTCAAGGGATTCCCAGTCAATGTGGGTACAACATATCTCCATCAATGTCAGCCCTTCCTTCATTCTCCCTCATCTCTCCAACCCCACCCATCCCCTCAAGTTCCATTTTTCCCATGTGTGAATTGAATATTATGGCTGTATTCTATCTACCACCCTTCCCCTCTAAGTTAGTCCACTATCCCCTCTCCATAACCCCACCCACATGTCCCAGCTTCCTGACATTCATTTTGTTAAACTGTAAGTTAGTTCTTGTTCAAAGGAGTTACACCACTGGAATTCTTCCCAGCATATACAATATTTTGGTTAGCATGCCTATGTATATATATATATATATATATATATATATGCATAATTTAGAACTAACTTCCACATACATCCTTTGTCTCTCTGAGCCTGATTTATTTCGCTTAACATAATTTTTCCAGGCCCATCTATTTCCCTGAAAATGGCATTATACCATTCTTCCTGATGGATGATTACAATTCCATTGATCTATTTGCCCATTGCAGGGCATCTGGGCTGTCTCCATAGCCTGGCTATGGTGAATAGTGCAGGAATGTCTATGGACGTGCAAGTGTCCTTACTATATCTTGACTGAGCCTCTAAAATTTAAAATCACAATATTGAGAAGGTTCTCCCCCCACTCCCTGCCCCGACTCACACACTTTCTCCTCCTTTATTATCTCTAAATGCTTGTGTGTACCATGTGTTTTTCAAACCCTGTCATATTCTCCCCTTCTCTCCCTCTATTGAATACAATCTACTCTCAGAAGCAAGGCTGATTGCTTCCGGTACAATGAACTCTCTTTCCAAGTGACAGAATTCCCACTATCTGCATGGCTTCAAACAGCAGGTTGAACTTTGTACCCAGCAGTTATTTTCTCGTTCAGGGTTTGCCTCTGGTTTTATTTATCGCAAGCTTCCCTGCCCCTTACCATTTTCTTCCTTTGAACTTTTTAAGCTTGAAGTTTTTGTCAAACGCCAAGTCATCCATCTTTGCCTCTCTATGCATAAATACAAGTTGGAGTAGACAGCACATGCTATCGTTTGTTCCATTTGCTACAGGGTTGGTCCTCAGTGCAGTGCTGTCAGGAAATGGTGGAATGTTTAGGAGAAGGGGCTTAGTAGGAAGTCTTCAGGTCACTGGTTGGGGAAAAGATCCTGAAAGGAGATTTCCACTTTTCTTCTGTGCCACTTCCTGGCAATGATGAGGTGGTGTGTGTGTGTGTGTGTGTAAGAGAAAGAGACAGAGACAGAGAGACAGAGAGAGACAGAGAGAGAGAGGGTGCTTGCCTTAAGGCTTGGCACAGTCCCTGAACATTTTTTTTTCTTCAAGACTAGTGCTCTATCACTGGAGCCACAGTCTCACTTCTGGCTTTTTCTTTTCATAGTTAATTGGAGGCACCAAAGCAATGGGGACAGCCAATGATAAACAGCAGCCTCCAAAACTGTGAGCCAAAGTAAACCTTTCCTCCTTCTAGTTCATTATCCAGGTATTGTGTTACAGTCATGGAAAGCTGGCTAACACAGTTGGTATCTTTGCCATACAAGCCCAGGGGTCCTGGGCTTGGCCCCCAGTCATGCTCTGGCAATGGAGCTCTTAAGTCTCTTCACTCTGATGACAGCAACACAACCACGCTCCTGCCTCTTCCTCTCCTTTTTGGAAAATGATCATTTCCTTCCACTCTTTCTCTCTTTCCCCTCAGTTCATTCTCACTTAGCTTGAATTTATCACTCCGCTCTAGAGATCTCCCAAGCTTAGCCTGCGGCTGACTCCATAACCTGGGCTTTTTGTTGTGCCATCTACCAGATGCTCTTCAGCTATTCAGGTGACTCCGCTCTCCACCATGCTTTGTCCTCCGCTTTCTAAAAGACTGGTTTTCCCTAAGGCATAGTTAACCATGACTATCTGAAGGCTGGATCAAGGATCTTCTCATTTTTAACTTTCCTCATGGTGACAAACATACACCTCCAAGCTTCTCCCAAATGGTGCTTCAGACTAGAGCCAAAGGGTCTTTTCAAAATGTTCCTCAGTGATAGCCCAACCCCTGACGTAATATCTACCCCCTTTAAAGGCCTATATACCCTGTGTACCATGGCCCTAGCCTGCCTCTTGCCTATCATACTTTGTATTCTCTTGACATTGATCTTCATGTGACCCCTTTGGAAATCTTACACTTCACATGCTGTCTCCTGCCACAGGGCCGTGGCACATGCTGTTCAGCCACGTCTTAAGTGTTTTATGCCTTCTTTACTTCATTGCTTCCAGTCAAGCCATCTGTTCCTTCAGGAAGTCTTCCCTGACGTATTTGGTTTGCTCCATAGTCCATCCTGACCATTCAAGAGAGAAATGTTTTTGAATGTTCTTCTTTCATTCCCAGTGCTTTCCTACATCTTCCCAGAGAGGCTGAGCTGTGTCACCAAGAGGGTCTGGATCTCTGTTGTACTTTAGCAACAGGTCTCCTGAGGTATTTTTGCGTCATTGAAGCCCATCCCACTGAGGTGGGAGACCTTCGGGTGCCCTGTGGATGGAGTGGAGACAGAGTTGTCATTCACTTTCCAGGCCTGCACT